TTTGAAAGAATAAATAAAATCGATAAGCCCCTAGCCAACCTTATTAAAAAAAGGAAAGAAAAAGCTCAAATTCATGCAATAAGAAATGAAAAAGGAGAAATCACTACAGACCCAATAGAAATACAGAGGATCATCAACACCTATTTCGAAAACCTCTACTCTCAAAAGTTTGATAACACAGAAGAAATAGACAGATTCTTAGAAGCATATGAAGTACCAAAGCTAGATCAAGAGGATATAAAACTGTTGAATAACCCAATCTCTGCTAATGAAATTGAGAATGTAATTGGGTCCTTGCCCACCAAGAAGAGCCCAGGCCCAGATGGATTCACTGCAGAATTCTACAAGAAATATAAAGAAGACCTAATGCCGACACTCCTCAAACTATTCAATGAAATTGAAAGGGAAGCAATCCTTCCTAAGTCATTCCTGGAAGCAAATATTACTCTAGTACCAAAACCTGAGAAAGACCCAACTATAAAAGAGAACTATAGACCGATCTCCCTAATGAACACAGATGCAAAAATCCTCAATAAAATATTGGCAAATAGGATCTAGCAAATCATCAAGAAGATTATACACCATGACCAGGTGGGATTCATCCCAGGAATGCAAGGATGGTTCAACATACGCAAATCAATAAATGTAATCCACCATATCAATAAAGCCAAAAATAAGAATCACATGATCATCTCTATAGATGCAGAAAAAGCCTTCAATAAGGTCCAACACTTATTCATGATAAGAACTTTACAGAAAATTGGAATAAATGGTCTTTACCTCAATATAATAAAGGCCATTTATGACAAACCAACAGCCAGCATCATACTAAATGGCCAAAAATTGAAAGCCTTTACTTTAAAGTCGGGTACAAGACAAGGATGTCCTTTATCACCACTCCTATTTAATATAGTACTGGAAGTACTAGCCAGAGCAATTAGGCAAGAAAGAGAAATAAAAGGGGTAAAGATAGGAAAAGAAGAAATTAAATTATCATTGTTTGCAGATGACATGATACTCTACATAGAAGACCCCCTAAGCTCCATTGAAATACTCTTAGATACAATAAATAAATTCAGTAATGTGGCTGGATACAAAATCAATACTCAGAAATCAATAGCATTCCTATACACGAACAACAAAATTACAGAGAGGGAAATAAGAGAAACTGGACTATTCACATTAGCAAGCAAAAAAATGAAATATTTAGGAATTACTCTTACGAAAGAAGTGAAAGACTTATACAGTGAAAATTATAATACACTGAAAAAGGAAATTGAAGATGATCTCAGAAAATGGAAAGACATCCCTTGCTCGTGGATAGGAAGAACAAACATTGTGAAAATGGCCATTCTCCCAAAACTGTTATACAGATTCAATGCAATCCCAATAGAAATACCATCAAAATACCTTATAGATCTAGAGAAATCACTCCTAAATTTCATCTGGAACCAGAAGAGACCTAGAATCGCAAAGGCAATTCTAAGCAGCAAAGACAAAGCAGGAGGCATCACAATCCCTGACTTGAAGTTATACTACAAAGCAACAGTAGTAAAATCAGCATGGTATTGGAATCAAAACAGAGCTGAAGATCAGTGGAATAGATTAGAAGATACAACCACAACTATGAACACACTCAACCACCTTATTTTTGATAAAGGAGCCAAGCAGGTTCACTGGAAGAACGACAGTCTCTTTAATAAATGGTGCTGGAAAAACTGGCTCTCCATTTGCCGAAAACTAAAGCTAGACCCATGTCTATCACCATGTACTAAATTAAAATCTAAATGGGTCAAAGATCTGAATATTAAAACAGAAACACTAAATCTATTGGAAGACAAAATAGGTAGAAACCTTGGAGACATAGGAATAGGTAAAGAATTCATGAACAGGACTCAAACCGCACGGGAAATACTTCCCAGAATCAATAACTGGGACCACTTCTTATTAAAAAGTTTCTGCATGTCAAAAGAAATCTCCAGCATAGTGAAAAGAAAACCCACAAACTGGGAAAAGACTTTAGTGAACTCTCTCTCAGACAAGGGCCTCTTGTCTAAAACATACAAAGAATTAAAGAAACTCAGACCTCCGAAATTCAAAGATCCAATCCAAAAATGGGCATCTGAGATGAATATGCAATTCTCAGATGAAGAAATGCAAATGGCAAATAAATACATGAAAAAATGCTCATCATCATTGGTCATTAGAGAAATGCAAATTAAAACCACACTGAGATACCATCTCACTCCTGAAAGAATGGCCAGGATCAAGAAAACCGACAACAAATGCTGGAGAGGCTGTGGGGAAAAAGGAACTCTCCTGCACTGCTGGTGGGACTGTAGACTGGTACAGCCTTTGTGGAGATCTGTCTGGAGATTTCTCAAAAAGTTGGGACTGGAAATCCCATTTATTCCAGCTATTCCACTTCTAGGCATATTCCCAGAAGAACTGAAAGCATCATACCACAGTGATATATGTGCACCTATGTTTATAGCAGCACAATTTGTAATCGCCAGATCTTGGAAACAACCCAAGTGCCCATCAACTGAGGAATGGATAAAAAAGTTGTGGTATTTCTATACAATGGAGTATTATTCAGCTATAAAGAAGGATCACATTGAGATATTTATCAATAAATGGGCGCAGCTTGAGACCATACTCATAAGTGAAATAAATCAATCTCACATGTGTGAATACCGAATAGTTTCCCTAATGTAAGTAATGATTCAAATATATAAAAATATGTGGTAATCATGATTCCCCATTAGGTGGCCTTGAAGCCTTATAAAGTTTTCACTCATTAATTAGAAAGGCTTTATTCTGGGCTTCTTGATATGAAAATATTTGAAGCTAGAGTATATGAAGTTTTACCCAAATATTTCAAGGAAAAAGACACTATGGTAACTACTATTAAGTCAGGTTATAAGGTGGTGAAGTACTAGGTTATTGAAACAGTCATGCTGTGACCTCTATTGTTATATTGTTATATCCTGTTTTATCTCAATCTCCCCCTTATTGTTTCAAAAAAAATTATTTAGTCATTTCTTATGTTTGTCTTAATTAAAGAAAAAATTCAAAAAAATTAGGATATATAAATAGTAACTCTTTTCGATTTCCTATTAACTTGTTTTGAAGTCCTGTAGTACTCCCACGATCTTGTTTTGACTGATTAGACTCTGTTCCATTCTATATGATAGTATCAAGTTTGAAGACATAGGCAACTACTTTGAAGACAATAAGATTCACTAAGATACCTATTCTGGTTTGACTATTGTCTTCTTTGGAAGTCCTGTAATGTTTACAATCCCTAAGTTTTATTGGTCTTGTTCTCTACTGTTTTGTCCAACTTTATAATATCTAATAAGATAGACAATTCTTTTTAAGGAAACAAGGGACAACGTTGATAACCATTGTTGATAAACTTGTACTCTGTTCTACACCATGTGCTACGTCTATCCTTGGTATTGACTGACAGCTTTGTTTTGCCATATTTGACTGTATTCTTCCCCCCCCCAAAGAAAGTAATAAGCACTAAGGAGTAATAAAATCCAAGATGTGTAAATTTTGTTGTAAAAAAGAGAGGGAAAAAAAAAAAGAAAAAGAGCTCTAACGGATATAACAGCAAGTGTGTTTGGGGGTGTTAAATAGCTGACTTTATCAATGTTTTTGGAACATTGAACACAGCTGTTTGCAGTCTCCCTGTTTGAATGTCCACCTTGTGTTCTTTGATACTGTGATTTGAGGAACTGTTTTCAAGAAAATAGTGTGTAATCTACTAGCAGGTAATTTCTTACTGTTATGGTTTTTTGTTTTGTTTTGTTTTGTAGTTCTGTATTGCGTGTACCCTTACGCCGCTTTGGTTTGTTTTGTGTTTTTCTCTTTTTCCTCTTAAATAAAAAAAAAATACTTCTACTGGCTCCCCACAAATTTACCTCATTACCCCAAGAACCATCCGAGACACTCAGAGTTCTCTTCCTTTCTCTGGACCAAAACCAAAGTTCAGTTTCAGTTTCCAGGAGGCTGTGGTTTGAGTGAGATGTCTGTCCTGGTCCAGTCAAATATAGTCAAAATGGTAAATCTAAGCAGAGCAAGCTAGAACCACCTTCTGTGGCTGGTGCAGTTCTCAGAGACTGAGATGCAGCATTGCTGACTATTTGATGAGTTAAAAGCCCCAAATTTGCCTACTACAGAAATATCAATGAACATCAACTCCACATCTAAGACATGGACTGGAATGGGGACCCAAGTACAGAAGTGTATAATTTAGTGGTTAAGTACATTAGCTTTGGGATCAAGCCAAGTGTTTTTTTCCTAATTCTGCCACAAACTATTTATTTTTATCTAGGAACAGTTAGTTACTCATCTCTTTATGCCATTTTCTTACCTATCACATGACAAAAATAAGTGGCTAGTCTCACTGGGCAGTTGCAGATCTTAAATGAGATTATATTTCAGACTCCCTAGCTCAAGGCAACTGTTTAATAAAGGGCAGCTATCATCATTAATCACTACATCACCCTTGGTATTATTATGAAGAAGTGGTAATAGTGTAATAAAAGGCAGTAAATTTGACATAATACATTTCAACTAAACCTTATGGAAAGAGCAAAAGAGAGAAGACAGGGAAAATATATATATATATGTATATATGTAGGCTATAGTGAACAGAATATAACATATATATGGTAATAAATATATAAGATAAAGATATTAGGATAAAAATATTAAGAAATATAAGATAATGAAAATACAATTTTAGCAGGGCTCCTAAATGTGGAACACTGCCTGTTATGCATCTCTGTGCACCTGAAGGGTTGACAAGGAGACGCTAAACACTTGATTCCAGAAATGTCAGCCTTGTCACACTGTGGCATGAGGCAAAAATGCTCTGAAGAAACAGTCCTTTTGTCTAAAATAGAAACTTTGAAGGAAGCCAAGTTAACACATGACAACACTGAATATCCAGTTTGGGGGTGGTAGGGTGATCGATAAAGTCCTTTTATTTCTGAAATGAGAAGGAGAATTAACTGGTATCAAAATTCACATTTCCTTTTTGGTGCAATTCTCCAGCCAAACTGGGTGCTAACCGAGTAGGCGATTTCACTTCACCGTCACTTCACAAAAGACTTCCAAATTCACTGCAGCAGACCGCGAAGTAAAATGTTAAGTACATCCTAGCTGAGAGGAGACGGAAGCCTTCACGCTCAATCAAAGGTTTGCAATAATAGGATTCATAAAAATTTAAAAAAAAAAAAAAAAAAGGAAAAAAGACAGATGGGATTAGAAAATGTTGCAGTGAAGACTGTGGAATGAGATGAGCTCACAGCCCAGAGCCCAGCCTGTCTTTTGTGGACCTACACAATGATCGGAGAGCCAGACTGGATTAGGAAAGCTCACGACTAGGGGTCCAGAGAGAGGCTGCCGGTTCCCGGGCAACTGAGGGAGAGAAGGCTGAAACGATGCATCAGATTTACAGCTGCAGCGATGAAAATATAGAAGTTTTCACCACCGTGATCCCTTCCAAAGGTGAGTACCATTGCCCTTGGCTGTCCCTTAAGGTGCCATCTTGTGCGGGAGGGTGAGGGCAATCACGTGCTATTTTACTATGGTGTACTCTGAGGTTCCCACAGTCTAATGCTTTGATGATATTTGATTTTTTTTTTTTGAAACAAAGCACAAGGATAAACATCAATCATTCAGAACAATCGATCGTGGTAAAAATGAGAGCAGTTAAGTACTCCCTGTTCACTTAATTCAACACCGGCAACCCAACAGGCTGAATGAAAGTGACAGCAAGTCATTGTTAAGGAAAACGGAGATGAAAACAAAATTCCTAGGGCAGCTAGCCAGTCTCTCATTTTTTTTACGTGAGCAAGTGGGCTCTGAAACATGAATCAACAGGCTCAAAAGTATGATTTCTAACTGTGCCATGAAATGTGAGAAATTAAACTCCAGTGAAACAGTTAAATTGTGACCTGACTCTAGGGCTGGTCTCCCCAGAATCCTTGAATCACCTGACAAACCTGACCTGGTCCCAGCATCGCCAGAGGCTGTGATGACTCAAGAACCTTGACTTAATGAGCCCCGTTGTACCAGGCAATCAGTGTCAGATCCCAGGAAAGGGCTTTTGGAGGCTCGGCAGATTTTGAGTGTCCGGTTATAGGGTTACAGGGCAGCTTCCTCATCCCTCCAAAGCTGGCCCCTCTCCTACCACCCCTGTGAGACCCAGAATCCCTGTTTTGCTGGGAGACCCCTTGGCTAAGGCTTAGCCCATGGTCTCATTGTCAGAAATGAATGAAGTGGACCGGGCGCTTGCTGGTGTGACTCGAAACAATTCCTTTCTTCCTTCTGTGTCAGGCTCCGACAGGGCTATTGCTCAGGGGGGAAGGGCAGGACTCACCCTGTCCACAAAAAGACAGCCAGCAAGTCATAAATTAGGCTTTAGACATCTACTCCCAGAGAGAGAGACAGAGACAGACACAGAGACAGACACAGAGAGACAGAGACAGAGACAGTGGGGGAGGGGGAGTCTGCCCACATGTGGGAGTTTAAATTCTCTCTGGAGACTCTGAAAGCCAAAGCTAAACCTCTGACCAGCAGTTTCAGTCTTGGGTAAATAACCCAGGGGAACTCTTACTTGTGAACATCAACAGTGCCATGCATCCTAAGTAAAAAGACAAAACTGAGACTAACCTACAAGTCCATGAAGGAGGGAGGAGATGAAACAAGGCTCCTTCATACTGTGCACTCTTCTACAGTGGTCAACAGGAATGAACGAGATTTCTATGAATGAGCATAGATGCATTATTTATTTATTACGTATGCGGGAAATCCAACCCAGCACCTCATCCATACTGGGCAAGCCCTGTACCCACTGAATTACATCCCCAGTCCACAGCCATACCACCCAGAATATGCCCAGCCTCGTCTGAATTACATCCCTGGCCCTATGGATGGATGCTGAATGAGAAAAAGAAAGAAAGAAAAAGCTAGTTGAGAAATTATATAAGTATGGTAACATTTCTGTAAATTTGGAAATATAAAATAATGGTATACAATGTTTGATTAAATGTCCTAAGTGTGAACATGGACCAAAAAGCTACAATTAGTGATCTCAGTAACCCTGGAGGACAGAAGTCAAATTTTAAAAAGGTAGGAAGGGAACCTATACTTTACCTCTAATTTTTTATTTTTTATATGAGGAAAATGTAAATTGGAAGCAAAGATGAAAATGTTAAATATGTCTATTTTCTGTACCTTAAAACAGTATTTAAGGGAGAGACCATCAAGGGCAAAGTGATTAAGAGATGGCACTGTTTCTGTGCTCTGTGACCTTTGACAATGCACTTAACCTCTCTGGCCCTGAGTTTCCACTTCTGTAAAATGGAAAATAGTTACTTCCCAGGATTATAATGTGGAACAAGTGAGTTAACATAGAAAGCATCAAGAGCAGTAACTGGCAGGCAGTGAGCACCATTAAATACATCACTTACAAAGTGGTTTCTATTTTTGTTCTTCATGTGGAGCAATGAATATATTCAAAGATGAACATTTAATCCTGTATTCTTTTCTTGCCATTTTCATTCATGGCTGCATCTTGATAGTACACCAAGGAAGTATTCATTGGTATTCACGGACATTTCCTCACTCTGGAAGTTAGCTGTCCTCTAGAAAAGAGATGTTTGCAGTTTCATGCTGGATCAGAAGTGGAGGCCGCCCTGTACAGCTCTTGCTTTGCTTTCCTTGTCTTCTTCAAGCCCTAAATGACAGGGCTTTTGATGAGAGAAGCTGATGCTAACAGGGCCTGAGTCACTGCTGATGAGAGACTGATGGCCTTTTCTCACATCCTCACATGTCTTAACTGCAGAAATACAAGTAGACTTGACTTTAACCAGAGCTATAGTCCTCCCAGGGAGCCCCCCCAAAAGGCACAATGTAGCCCATGATCATTAATGTGCAATAACCAATCATTCCAAGTACTAGCTCACCAGCGGGGCAGTGTACCCCAGTGGTTAGGAGAGTGAGCTTTTTCCACCACTGAGTGACTCCTCTACCCTCTCAATATCCCCATCAATGCCATGGAGATCAGGAAGAGAAGCTACCACTGTAACCTGTGAAACTAACGATGATGAATATAAACCACCACCTCATAAAGCTCGATGTGAGTTATCATTACATTTTTGTTTATTGCATCCCTCTTTCCAATACTATGTTGGTCTCCATTTAATATCTATATTTTAACTGAGATATCCTAATGTGGACATCCAGCAATGTGGAAAATAGATGCCTGCATGTCCCCATGTGCAGGAAAATCCACTTTCAACAAAGTACTATTTTTTTAAAAATGGATAAACTGATTTCACTAAATTTTTTAATTGTGGTAAAATAAGTAGTATGTAGAACTGATCATTTTAAGTATACAGTACTTAATTCAATACTATACAACAATTACCACCATCCATCTCCAGGATTTTTTCGTTACCCTAAATTGAAATTCCCTACCCATCAAACTCTGGACAATCTTCTTTATCTTGAGATGGGAGACAAAGTCTCACTATGTTGTCCAGGCTAACCTAGAACTCCTGGGCCCAGTGATCCTTCTGCCTCGGCTTCCCTAGTAGCTGGACCTATACGCACATACTCCCTCATTAAGCTGAAATCATTAGAAATAACTTCCAATTCCCCTACCTTCTGATGACTGTTATCTGCTTTCCATTTCTTTGAATTTGACTATTAGGATTCTCATGGAAGTAGAATTATATAATATATGTCCTTTTATGTCTCACTTATTTCACCCAGCACAATGTTTTCAAGATTTAGTCATATGTAGCATTGTATCAAGATTTCATTCCTTTTCACGGCTAAGTAACAACCCATTGTATGGATAATACCACAATTGGCTTATGCATTCATCTGTTGATGGGCATTTGGGTTGTTTTACCTGATGTGAGTCATGCTGCTATGAATTTTGCTGTACTGAATCCAGGTAACATCTTAAATTGCAGTGGGACCCGCCTCTTCTACCCATCCCCTCTTCAAGGCACTTACCCTATTACACGTCTAAACTTCTCAGTGTTTTTACCATAACTATGTCAGCTTACTAGGAATTTTCTAAACTATTTCTTTATCTTTCTTTGCAGTGACCAGCCCAGCCAGGAGAAGAGTCAAAAGTTCTCAACATCTCTTGACTAAGAATGTAAGGACACTTTAGTTTGTTTTAATCTCCATAGACTAACTTTCATTGCAAAAGCACGGTGGCTTCTTTACTCTCTCCCTTGTTATCAACGACAAGGAGAATTTTCTAGACCCTGTATGGGTGCTACTGTACTTCCTTCACCCAACCAAAATAACTGACAAATGTCCACCAAGTAACCCTGAAATGGCCCCTCCTACTCTGCCATCTTTCCCAGGCACAAAGTGAAAACCATTTTGTTGTTGTTGTTGTTGTTCCAACAGAATCATGGACACAAGATGCCTGACCTAAGTGTTATCCTGTGTTGGCATTTGCAGCATTCCATTTTTAACTATTATAAATAGCAGAGCCATGAATTTATTTGTGCATATTTCTATTTGGGTTAATTCGCTGGTACACAGGACTCAAAGAGGAGTTAACAGGTAAAAGGATAAGAACAGTCTTATCCATCCATCTATGCAGCCATCCATTCATCAAATATTTGCATTCCTACTGTGAGAAATGCTATACTAAATGTGGAGGTTGGAATGTAAGATTGATTTTTTAAAATGGTCTCTGCTTACATTTTTATCACATACTTCCAGGAATTCTGAACAATTTTGAGGCTTCCAGATATGCTTTTCCATCTACTTGGAAACATGCAATACCTTACTCTACATGTCTTTAAAGTCTAGCATGTCTTTAAAGTCTACCAATGTTATGCATTTTTCATCCTATATATATACTTCTTCATGCAAAAAAACTTTTAATTATATTTATACTTTATTTTTAATACTATATTTTAAAAAGGAAACTGTAATCATTTGCTATTGGTTATACTGGAGTTTCTATTTCTATCACAAGTTTTTATAGACTACCATGTTTATTTGAATTTGAATTTGAATTTTTACTTGAATTTTTTTTTTTTTTTTTTTTTTTTTTTTGTACCAGGGATTGAATCACAACCTCATGCTTGCCAGGCAGGCGCTTATGAGCTAAATCCCTGGCTTTACCTGAATTTTTAAAAGTCATTAAAAATTTTTTTTAGTGTCCTGGAAAAGATGAGATTTTATTTGTCTATAAATATATATTTAATATGCTTTTAATTCCAAAAGTATTGTATACCCTTTACAAAATTCCAAACATTATAAAGATATAAAATATAGGGCCATAAAATCCTAAGAAGCTTAAAACAGAGTGGTTAGAAACATAGACTTTAAAGTCAATCTGCCAGCATTTAGATCCCTGTCCCTTCCATTTCTAGTTATGTGACCTTGAGCAAGTTGCCTAACTATTCTTGGACTCAACTTGCTTAGTATTAAAATGAGAAGAGAAAGAGCACATACCTCAAGAGCCATGAGAGGTAACATGATTTAACACATGGAGAGTATTTAGTCAAGGGACTGACACATATTAAGCATTCAATATACACTGCTGTTTTTTTAAGTAAAAAATTTCCCAGATGCTGTAGTTATGTCTTATTGTCTCATAATGCACCGTTTTGCAAATTGCTTTTTTCACTTAATAGATCTTGAGCATCTTTCCATGACAATTAATATAAATACATCTACCTCATTCTTGGTAGCTGTATAGTATTCCAGTATGTAACTGTACAATCATTTATCAACCCGAACCAAATCTGGATTCATTGTAGATTCATTACTTAACCAAAACATGGGGTTTCTCCATTTTCTTCTCTTAGGGCAATGCCACAAGAAACAGTCTTAAATATTTTAATGTTCTTATACATATTTTTGAAGACAAATACATGGATATGAAATGTTGGGCCAGAGAATATGAGCACTGAAAAAAATTACTGCTTCTGACAAAGCTGAAATAACTAAATAGCCATTACCAGACTTCTAGCACTATGTGTAAAAGTACCTTTTGCACAATTGCCAAGCCAATATTCGATGGTACAATATTGTCAAACTTTAACAATCTGATAGATTAAAATGCCTTATTGTTTTAATTTGTATTTCTTTAATTTTTAATGTGACACTTCATTTTTTCATAGATTTACTGATCATTTCAATACGTTTTCCCTGCAGTTTTATATTTAGCCTATTTTTCTATCAATTATATGCCTTTTATAATCACTTTAGAGAGCATTTTACATGATGAGAGAGAGGAGGGTTTTGTGGGGTGCAGTAGGCTTTATTGATGGTGCACAGTGAGCCAGAACTCCCTACACCCCTCCCCTTCTCCAGGGTGTCTGGGATGGAAGCTGGGAAGAGGGGAGACTCCCAGTGCTGAGGCTGAGTGGGGCAGCAGCTTCTGCAGTGAGGCCTCGTCTCCCACATGGTCTCGTTGGGCTGTGGCGGGGGGCGGCTTCCTCCTTGGAGGCCACATGGACCAGGGGTCCACCACCCTGTTGCTGTAGCTGAACTCACTGTCACTGTCATGCCAGGAAATGAGCTTGACAAAGTGATCATTGAGGGCAATGCCAACCCAGCATCTAGGGTAGAAGAATGAGTGTCACTGTTGAAGTCACAGGACACAACCTGGTCCTTCTTGGGGGGTGCAGTGGGCTTTATTGATGGAGCACACTTCACCACCTTCTTGCTATCATCATATTTGGCTGCTTCTCCAAGTGGCAGATCAGATCCATGACCAACACATTAGGTGTGAGCACAAAAAGGCCATGCCTGTGAGCTTCCCATTCAGCTCTGGCAGCATGGCCTTGGCAGCACCAGTGGATGTGGAGATGATGTTCTGGGCAGCACCACGGCCATCCTGCCAGAGCTTCCCAGAGGGGTTGTCCACAGTCTTCTGGGTGGCAGTGATGGTGTGGACTGTGGTTCTGAGTCTCTCCACAATGCTGAAGTTGCCATGGGTGACTTTGGCCAGTGGGGCTAAGCAGTTGGTGGTGCAGGAAGCATTGCTGACAATCTTGAGGGTGTTGTCTTACCTCTCACGATTCACACCCGTCACCAACGCTGGGCATTGGCAGAAGGAGCAGAGATGATGACCCATTTGGCACCACCCTTCAAGTAAGCCCCAGCCTTCTCTGTGGTGGTGAAAACACTGGTGGACTCCACCACATGCTCAGCGCCAGCATCGCCCCACTCAATATTGGTGAGATCTCGTTCCTGGATGAGGATGATGGCCTTTCTGTTGATGACAAGCTTCCCAGTCTCAGCCTTGACAGTGCCATGGAACTTACCAGGGATAGAATCATATTGGAACATGTAGACCATGTAGTTGAGGTCAATGAAGGAGTTATGGATGGCTACAACATCCATGTTGCCAGAGTTGACGTCAGCCCTGGTGACCAGGCACCCAATATGGCCAAATCCGTTCACTCCGACCTCCACTATCGTGTTTCGGATTGCGGCTGGCGCTGCATGGGAAGAACGGTTGTCGTTTGGGTGCACAGGAGCAGAGAGCCAAGAGGAGGGTTTTTAATGGTTGGAAAGTTTGGTTGTGGGGCATGAGATTCTGATCTAGCTTGTGGTCCCTGAAAACTTAAGCCCAAAATCCAAAAGAAAAACACTCCTGGCCTTCAAGGGACGGTAGGTTAGGAGCTGCCAAAGGTAGAAAGGGAAAATGTTTGTCAGTATTTTAGAGTTTAAGAAAACTTTCAACTAGTCAAGAAGGGAGGGAAGAAGGGAGGTTTTGTCTTCAAATATTCACTCTTCCTGTGGTGGGATAGCACAGTAAGCCCTCTGGCCTTTTAAGCTCTCCTCCAAATCTTTCTAAATCTCCCCCAACAGCTGCCTAATCCCTTGTCAACCTCAACTGCACAAAACACGCACATTAGAAGAGCTCCCTTGGTGACAACTTTTCCAGGCAGGGAAAGTAAATCCCAAAAAGGAAAGACTTGTCTGACTCATTTCCTCAAGCAACTAGCTCTTGGCTTTCATTTGTTTTCTTTTTCACTTTCTCTAGCTTGGTGGTCTGTAAACCACTGGGTTCGTTACCTTGCCTGGAAAAATACATTTTATTTTACCAATATTTACACCTTTCTTTGGCTGAAATTCTTATTTGTCTCTCCTCTAAGCCCTTGGACTATCCTGTGAATGGATGTCAGTATTCTGCCTTTACAAATGCTTCTCCTTTCTGAGCCATCTTTAATGTCTGGATTTCCTTTCTTTGTGTCGCCTCTTGTTGCATTTTCTTGCTATCCTACGATACAGCACATATCTCTAAACAATCTCTCTCTCTCTCTCTCCTTTCTTTCTTTTTCTCTTTTTGTTACTTAGGCTATTTTATGGACATTCCGATATTTCTGACACCCACTGATATCATAGGAATAGCTCAAGGAAATAAGTTTACACAAAGGAGTGGATCAGTTAAGCCTTTTGGCATAATGGAGCCACTTTCACTGTGACTCAAGGCCTTCTCACATAGGCAGAATAGCTGTCATCAGGAAAGATGGAGAAATTAGATGGCAAATGTCACACCAACACCAAATTTCAAGCTAAGGCGGGGAGGGATTTGTCCAGTGATCTCCAGGTCTTTCAAAAGGTGCTAGGCAATCAACTGCCCTTGAAAAATCTTGTCTTAATGCAGGTAATTCTGTGAGTTTTCCAAGAAGCATTCACTTGGGGGGTATGAAATCATGCTTCACATTGGCTATTTCCCTTACAACAAAGGTGATTTTTTTTTATTTTGAAAAGAATAAAACCAAATGAGAAAAAAATGAAAAAAATAAAAATAAAACAAAATGGTGTCATTCAAAATAAAAGAATTTACATAGTACATAATTTAAAACCACAATACTAGGTGATCTACAATGGTTACCATGATGTCTCTTATTATCTTCAATAGAATTGCCCATATCTTCAGGTACAATAAAATTGAACATAGCAGTACAAAACAAAATCAATAAAAACAAAATATTAGAGACATTCTAGGACTTCAAAAAAGGATAATAGTCAAACCATAGTGAATCTTATTGTCTTCAGAGTAGTTGTCTATACTCTCAGATTTGATACTATCAAACATAACAGATTCGAATAAAATCAGTCAAGACAAGACAATGATTGAACAAGATAGATTCAAATAAAATCAGTCAAAAC